TTTTTTCACCGACGAATACGAGATGGCAATGTTCAAGACATGGTTACGGCCTTGATTCAGATGCATGTGATGGAAAACATCCAGCATCGTGTTGCGCAGACGGACTCACCGGTGAACAGGTACCAGAGGTTGTTGGGTTCGATGGCCTCCTGTTCCCCCCGCCGGCCCGTTTTGCGATGGCGGATCTTGTATCCGGTGATGAATCCGTTCTGCGTGTTTGCAGGCGGAGGCTGCCAGCTCACCTTAATGCTCTGAGACACAGACGAGAAAAAACACTGAGATCATCCAAACATCAGCACAACATCCGTTTATCGGCTAGAGCGTGTGAATATCGGTTAAATGCAAAAGTACAAATAAACACGTATAAACAGTCACTTTCCTGTCACTTTTGATCAATATAATGCATCCTTGATGAATAAAAGTATTAATTTCTTTCCAAAGAAAAAAAATGCATGTTAAATTCTGCTGCTCATTTTTATTACCGTTCAGACCTTTCCAGCCATCTGTATTCTTCATGGATGCTTATTAATTATGCAGGGAAAGGCATTTAATTGTTCAGTAAAGCAGAGGAAGAAATGCATTGATTTGACAGGGTCTTTAGTATGAGCATAACTTACTGACGAGAAACATCAGCGGGTCAACTCAACCTTTACTAGAACTAGTACTGCTGTCTCTCTCTCTCTCCCCAAAGCATCCAAACTCCTAAACACAGATTCATTAACCTTCACAAACGGCCCTGAAACAGATATAAACTGCACGGCGCAGGAATGCCATCATACGCTCAGTGGCATCGTGAGACTGCGCTCGTGCCATCTGCCTGTTAACATGCAAATAAAGCAATTAAAATTCACAGCACACCGCTGCCAACGTGACACGTCCATCCCGCTTCAGCCTCATAACAGTGACCGGCCAATCCTGCGGCCAGCGGCACACGCTGCATTCATTAACGTTCACTGGCACTCGTTCCTGGGTTTGGAGACTAATCTAAATTGATTACAGCTCGTGTGTGTGT